ACACACACAACACACACACCACACACACACACACACACACACACACCACACACACACACACACACACACACTTACACACACACACACACACACACACACACACACACACACACCACACACACACACACACACACACCACACACACACACACACACACACACACACACACACACACACACACACACTCATACTAAACTCAACTCACAGTTCCACATACTTCCCACTGACTCACTCACAGATGCCTTTACCCTAAATGTGAAGCCTGAATAAAAATCCTTTATTTTCAGTTGAGCGAAGAAGACGGTTCAACATAAATGACAGAATAAAGGAACTCGCCACCCTCCTTCCCAAAAGCAACGAACCGTAAGTTATTTCTTTTATGTATTTTTATTTCTTTAGGATATTATGAGTTAAACTAAAGTAAATTTTTGAGGATAAACTGTAAAGAATAGAAAAATTATAGATCATGAATAACGAAGGAAGGAGAATTTGTTAGAGATGGATTATACTTCATGGAATAGATCTGTAGATAATGACAATCAAGGAAAATGATAGATGAGTAATTAAACCATTAGATCTATTAAGATGAATCTAAATCTAAGATGAGTAGATAATATACAGGATACCGGTAAAATATGAATTAAATAGAAGAAAGTGTATGAAAAGTGAAAATTTTGAGTATATGGGTAATGATAAAAATCATCAAATTGTAAAAATTATATATTTTACAAATGGTGCCCCACAAGTGACAGTTTCTAAAATGCCTTCAGATACTTCGAGCTGGTTCGTGATCTGCGCCACAACAAGGGACAGATACTGAAGGCTTCAGTCGACTACATCAAAAGACTGAAACTGGACACAGAGTACAACAAAGAGGTGGAGCTGAAGCGAAGAGCCTTAGAGCAACAAAACCGCCAGTTGCTCTTGCGGATACAGGTGAGGAAGGGCATAAGATTTGGGCGTTTCTAAAAGGAGACGGGATAGCAAAGAGTTTCAGAAGGATAGAGGAGTGTGTAGGAGACATCAGAGAGAAGGATTTGTTTGAAGGATTTTTAAGTAGGGAAAAAGTATAAGCATTACTTTAGTAACTACATTCACATAGGTTGCATTGCACTACATGGTGTCAAGTAACAGAAATAGTCAGTAGAAAAATCCAAGTAATATTGATATAAAGAATTAGTTGTGAGGGTTTTAGATCCTCTTACTTAACTTTTAACTTTTAACTTGAGAATCAGACTTTTTTTTTTTTTTTTTTTTTTTTTTTTTTTACTTTGACATCAGGAAATTTTCAAGCTATTCTTTCACTTTGAATCCTTGATAATTTCAAAACCATTTTTGTATTAACTTCAGGAATTGGAATCCAAACTTCGTTCAAATGGAATCAAAGTGGAGGAGACCAACATCGACCAGAGTCTGCTGCTGTCTACAATTATTAAGTCAGAGGTGGTAAATAACACAGGGGAACAAAATGATATGAAGAAGGTGAGGTGTAACTACAGTCTCCCTGGATCCCTGCTTGACGTACGTGTGCAGTGCCTCCTTATTTTTCGTTATTTTTTTTTTTTCTCTTTCTTTCACCCCTTCTTGACATAGCAATCACAGTGAACCTTTTCATCACTTTTTTTCTTCTTCTTCTTCTTTTTGCCTAATAAAGCATTAGTTTGCCTGTTAAATACCGCTGATATGGCCTTGATTTTTTGCATCTGGATATTTTTTAATGAGTTTTGTGGCACTGTGATTGTTATGATTCCCTATAATTCTACAAGAGCATGGTTTTATTGCCTTAAGTTCCCAAAACAGCTTGATTATTCTTTGTAAACTTCACTCTTTAGTGTGCACTAATGACCACAATAAGCTGTTGCTTTGCTTGTATAATATCCTAAATCCTGATTGAATTGCTGGATGCCACCCCTACCTCTTCCATTTATTTGCAAAGTCTGTAATGCCTTGGCTTTCCTTATTGCACCTTGTCCAACACTTAGTCAGAATTTTTATTTACTTGCCAACTAGATAGCGCATAAAAACTGTTTGTGTCCAGCTTGTATGGGGTTAAAGCCCATTTTAAACATCCATGGTATTAGATATTAACTGTATAGTCCATCATTTTTTTTTTTTTCGTATAGTGCATAGATCATTAATGCAGCACCTGTAGGTTACCTAGACAAATCCCTTTACCCATGCCCTTTTAGATTATTGGAAGTGTTTCTTTGATATTAAATTGCAATAATGAATACTTGTGATTTATATATAGATATAAAACACATACACACACACACACAACACACACACCACACACACACACACACACACACCACACACACACACCACACACACACACACACACACACACACACATGAAATAGTAAACAGCTAAAGAATAGAATTTAATAAGATTTAAAAAAAAATAACAGCAGGTACTAATTTATGTCATATCTTCTCTTACAGGAACTCTTAGACGACTTCACATCTGGAGGCTTTAACCTGGACCTCATGGATGATGACGGGCCAGCATTCACAAGTGACCGGTCTTCTCTTCGCCTCAGGTCTCATCTCCGAATTCCTCCCATCATTCATTCGATGATGCTCTTACTCCAGACTCCATGGACATCGTTGCGTGATCTTGTGCTTTAAGAGCAGTGAAAAACATGCATATCTCTCATTAAAACGTTTATTTGTTTTAAGCCAGCTTAGAATATACAAGGAAAAAAATATTACTGTTTGAAGTCACATATTTCTCACGTTATGTTCAGCACTGTAACCATTAAACATAACCATTAATGTATTCAATTTTGATTTAGAGAAAACACACATACACACAGAAACTTCTTTCAGTAACTCTCTGTTTCTCCCAATTCTGCTCTTTTGAAATCTGCGATAAGTTTGTTAATTGTATTGTTATCTTATAAAAATGTTGTACCTCAAAGGTTCATAGAGATGTAAAATTTTGTTGATATCCTGTAATTGTTGATCTAAATTTGTATAATACCAAAAAACTACTGAACCTTCAACTCCCCAGCTTAATGGCTGGTCAAGCTGCAGAGGCTTTTTTATGACCTTTTTCTAAGACATTTCTCAGTCTGTACTGATTGGTAAATTCCGATGTTTAGATCAAAAAGATTATTCAGTTCTTTTAAGAAGTATTGGTGTACTTATCGAAATTGCTGTGTACCTCTTAGAAGAATGTAACTGATAGGTACCTGACACTGAATCCATATTACAGTATATTTTTTGCTAGTAGTCCACATAATTTAATAAATATGATAAGGAGAATTACTAACTATTTTTACTTACATGAAACATTTATAGGTTTTATTTTACCTCGTTGCTAGAGTGTACAGTTTGTTCCTCTGGCAGTTTTGAAGATTTGATATTTTGATAAAGCAGTCAGCAGGAGCATTTAATGATCTTATTTAGCACTTTAAACATGATTTCACTTGCACCTTAATTATTTTCTCAACAACTTTTAGAACAGTTTTTTTTCTATGTTGCTGGCTACATTGAGAGTTGCCATAAAACCAATTTATTTGTAAATAGTTCTGTAAATTTATTTACTCTTACATTTAAAAAGAGATGAAATCAAATATTTTTCATGCTTTTTAAAAAGATTTTCCAAAATCGCTAGTATTTATTTTGAAATTTCTTTCAGATGCATAATTTGTTATAACTGTGGTAAAGATATATTTGACATGGAAAAGATCATAATTTACAAACAAGATTTAAGTGTTTGTTACTTGTACATAAAATTTAAGCAGTGACACACTTTACATGTAAGCCTAACAATGCTTGGAACATTAGTTTTGTCTTGGGCATAATTTTACATTTAGGAAGGTGAAATGCACTACGAATTTCTGAAAATGATGTATGGTTACATATGTGAAACAATGAATTGTTCATTTTCTTCTTTCATACACTGTTGCAAAGGTAAAAATTGTATAGAACTTATTGTTAAAACTGTGATTTATGAACTGTTAGAAGAGCAACGGTCGGGCCAGAACTTTACAGTGTTCCTGTTGTTTGAACCCTGACATTTCTTTTTTTTTTTTTCTTTTTTTTTTGTCTCTTATTTTGTTAGCACATTGTTAGTCTGTATGTGCTCATGAGTGCATGGATATTAGTGAGAGTATTAGAATGCATGGTACTGTATGTGATTTGTGCATTAAAGATTCATCTCTGATTCTTACAATATGCTTATTTAAAGGTGTACATAGTTTACATGATCCTTAGTTATAATTTGAATACTTTTTTATGTAGTCATATCATTTTTTTGTCTTCTTTTCTTTTCCTTTTTTCATGTATTTTTTTCTCTCTCTCTCTTTCTTTTCTTTACTATGAGACATAGGATGTAAAGCATCAATTTTATATAAGCTGTATGCAGTGTTTCCTGAAGATTTTTAACCAGTAGTTGCTTTTACATCGTTTATCTCAAAAACTATTTAATTTTAAGTGTAGCGTTCTTTATTGCCACGACAGTTATAGTGGAGAAAGTATAGAATTTAACCAGCAAAGGGACGTCACTAACATAGGATTTGGATGACAAATAAAAAAGGTTGGCAAAAAGAAATGATAAAAATTGTATCCCAGATCTTAGTACGTTCGATCCTCTGAACTACTGGGGACACATAGGATCTGCGGTTTGATATTTTTCTCTCCAGAAAGTTTTCCAAGGCAAATGACTTTGTCTATAAACCAATAAGAATTGGATTCCTTTTTTTCTTTTCATAAAGGTCCTAATTGTTATTGGATACGTTATATATACAGTATATATATATACCGGTTATTTTTCCCCCTATAATTTATAGAAAAGTACAGTTCCCAGCCCTTTTAATTTTGCTTTTAACTTTTGATGCTTTGATACCAGCAGATCAAACATTCATTCGGGGCAGTGCCCTCACATGAAGTCCTTAAAACTAATGATAAGACTGGACTGACGCTAGTGCAAAACCAAGCATGCTGTAGTCATTATTGGTCAAAGATCTAATATTATCATTTAAGAAAATTATGTAGTGAACCTTGGAATAAGGAAAAGAGAAACCTATTGTTTATGTGATATATATATGTATATATATTTTTTTCTTTCTTTATGAGTACTATGTATCTAAACCAGCCTGGCCTTATTTCCTGTGTATGGTCACTTCATTATGCACTGGACTTTATTCATTTCAAAGTAATGAAATATTCCACATGGGTTCTAAAAGGGAGAAACAAAGGAAATAATCATTCAAGTACTAGATACCACAGACTGAATGGGAAAGAGGCTACAATAAGTTGATATGTAATGCAGACTAGAACCCTGTTTCTAGATATCACGCCAGTATTGTCTCTTTTGGATAGAGTGAGTTGTGATATCTCAATTGGTCTAGTTCCGTTTATGGTGTAATATCTTGTTTTTATATGTCAATTAGTGGTGTTACCACAGCCTGATGTTGTTATGCTGAAGTGGTGTAGTCAGCACCCATCATAAGAAAAGACAAATGGAATAAATTGTATATTTGAATGTTGTATTTTAACTTTCCTTGTTTATGTTTGGCTCATTTTTAGGGCCTATGTATTTATATATCTAAAGATGTAATCAATAAGTTTCTAATAATTCATATATACACATTGCAAGTTCTAGATTAATTTAGTGATTTTTTCAAAAGTATGAATGTTTGAGTACTTTGATCAACAAAGTACTCAAAGTTCAAATGTTAAAATCATTCCTAATTGCAAATAAGACCTTTTCATTGATTATATTATTTATTTGCACAATAATATCACATCTTACTTGTATAAGATCTTCAAATTATATACACTTTCAACAAAAGGAATGCAAACAAAATAAAAGTATAAGTTTATGTATATGAATATAACATATAAATAAATAAATAAATATATATATATATATATATATATATATATATATATATATATATATATATATATGTATATATATATAATATATATATATATATATATATATATATATATATATATAA